CAGGAGAGGTCTGCCACGCCATGTGGTCACCTCCGGGGCAGGCGGGAATCGAACTCATGCTGAAGTGGCTTTAGCTTCTTAGTGCTGTGCTTTATCCCGCTGCGCCACCAGGGAGGGCCTCAAGGCAGTTTTTTAAAATCATCCTTTGGGAGAGCTCTTAGGGTCATGAAATCATCACATGTTAACCAGTAAGCTTTTTTTCTTTATATTAAAAGGGTGAGAACAGCTCCCTGAGATGACTTGCATTGTAGTAATTGTCCTGCCATCGTGACTTAAAGGAGTTGGTACAAGTTTAAACATTCTCATAATAGTGAGATATAAAAATTGGAGATCACTGGCATGTTTAGGTCAAGGAAATGTACATATTTTGGACATGGGGGGGGGAAAAACTTGCAAGCACATTAGCCATAATGTACAGTTTAGGCCCCCCCTATCTAACCAGTTAGCTTGCCCCTCCCCTCAGCGGCTCACTTGTTTGAGATGTGTGATATGTTGTCTCCTCCTAGGGGTGACTGGAATTGGTGCAGCTTGGAAGGGGTGAAAATCCCACCTTACACACACTCAGCTGATTGATTACAGCTTGTCTTCATAAACAGATTGACCGGCTCCCTGCCAGGAAAAGCACTGTTCTCCTTAGGCCTGAGTCAGAGCACGCCCCACCCAAGCAGCAGACAGACAGGGGGAGCTGAGAGCAGGTGCAGAGTTGAGAACAAACAGGGGTTCACATTAGTGCAGACACATGACTCGGCAGAGATTCACAGGCAGCCAGAGCAGGCGTGGCCCTGAGCCCATGCCAGGGCTGGTTGTTCTGGGCTGTTTCCCATTCCATCCCTCAGTTAGGTAACTTCATCAGCTTGTAAGTCGTGGAACCTACACCTCCAAACAGCACATTAAGTGACCTGTTCTCTGGCAAGTGATGCTGATCAACCACTCACCAGCTTTCTCTTGTTGACTATGGCTTTGGGGAGTTGCTTCCTTGTGATTGGTTTGAAATGAAATCTCACCCCCACACTAAACGCAAGGATGAATGTATGTTTGTGTGGTCTTCCTTTGGCCTGCCTCTTTTCCAGATGCCGTCTTATCTTGATGATTTGTATCTAACAATCCTTCTAAAAAGAGCCTGTACTTTTATGTTCATCCACACTTACTTGCTTCATCTTTGCTTTCTAATTCAGCAGCCCTTCTCACATTTCCACATCAGTGAGTACATTAGTTCTTCACTTCAATAATGAACTCCAATAGAACATTTCTCTTTTTATCACTTGAATATTATTTCGTTTTGGATTTTTTTTATTGTTACTAATGTTAAATACTCAAAAGTTACATGGAAGGTAAGCCCTCCCTGAAATAATTTCTGCCTTTGATGTGATTTCCTCCAGCTATTTTTCTATTTAACCTGGGAACTGACATCTCCAAATGTGTTAAATAAGTCTTTTCATTTAATAGTATGTCTTGGATGTCATTCTACTGAAACACCCAATTGTTTTACAGCCTCCACATATAGAGGTATGGAGTTAACTTCAATATAGCTCTCTTTTTTTTCATATCTCATTTTTTAGTACCACAGTATAAAAACATCTTTTTTAAAAAAATCTTTATATCTATTTCTTTGCACAGTTAAATTGTATTTATCCAAAAAAAATTCTTAAAAGGAGAATTTCCAACTAAAAAGATTAAATTTTAAGAGCTATTGCCAGATTCAGTCTTAAAAATTCTATACTTCACATTTCTACCGATGGTATATAAGACACTGCCTGTCTTAACACTTTAGCTCCTATCAGTCTGACAGGTTAAAAAAGAAATCACGGACCTCCCTTGTGACACAGCGGGTTAAAACACTGCACTGAGAAGCATAAGCCACTTCCCCATGAGTTCGATCCCCGCCTGCCCCGGAGGAGATCCACATGGTGTGGCAGACCTCTCCTGACCCTCCCGCTGCTCCCCTCAGCAGTGTACTTCGTCATCTGCCTTTTCTGTTCCCCACTCTGTCCCTGGTGAATCCTCTCACCCTCCGCATCTCCAGCCTGTACCCCAGTTCTGTATGAATAAATAAATAAATCTTTTTAAAAAATCCCATTTCAGCACTGGTTGTTTTGTTTTGTTGTTGCTTTTAGTTAAATTGGGCATCTTTTCAAATGTTTATTAGTTCTTTTGGGCATTAGCAGCATTTTTATAAGTTAAAAAAAATCACAGCTTTTTGTTTTGTTTTGTTTTGTTTTTTTTATGTGGGTTTCCTGGGAGGGTATTGATTATTTTCACAAACTAAAGTAAGATGTTTCCTGTATGTGTCCTCCACAGCAAACAGCGGCATAACAAACTCTGGAGATCTCATTCAGATAGTGACCTCTCAGATCACCACGAACCCATCTGCAAATCAGGACTAGAACTCAACAAGAAAGAGATCACCACCTCAGCAGACCAGATTACTGAGGTGAAGACCATAGAGAGTCACCCACCCATACCTCCCGTCTTTGTGGAACATGTTGTCCCACAAGATGAACATCAGAAAGGCCTCTGTACCAAAGAAAGAATGATCTGCTTGGAGTTTACCTCGAGGGAATTTCATGCTGGACAGATTGAAGATGAATTGAACCTAAATGACATCAATGGGTGCTCATCAGGATGTTGTCTTAATGAATCAAAATTCCCTCTTGATAACTGCCATGCATCCAAAGCCTTAATCCAACCTGGACACGACCCAGAAATGGCAAATAAGTTCCCAGACTTAACAGTAGAAGATTTGGAGACAGATGCTCTGAAAGCAGACATGAGTGTCCATTTACTGCCTATGGAAGAGTTGACAACGCGCCTAAAAGACCTCCCCATGTCTCCTGATCCTGAATCACCAAGTCCCCAACCTAGTTGCCAGGCTGAAGTCTCGGATTTCAGTACAGATCGTATTGATTTTTTTAGTGCCCTAGAAAAGTTTGTAGAACTTTCCCAAGAAACCCGAGCTCGTACTTTTTCCCACTCAAGGATGGAGGAACTAAGTGGAGGAAGGAGTGAGAGCTGTAGACTGTCCATGATAGAAGTAGCTCCTTCTGAAGTAACACCTGATGACCAGAGAAGCAGCTCTTTGAGTAATACTCCCCATGCATCTGAAGAATCTTCAATAGATGAGGAACACTCAAAGGTAAAAACTACAGTGTTCCACCTAATGAAGTTCTCTGAAGACAAAGTACTTGGGAATTTGCTATGTTCACTTTATTTAGGAAGGCATTTTGGGAGAAACAGTCTAGCTGAGTTTTTCCTTGAAAACTTAGCCCTTTGAAGAATCTTGCCAGGTTTTCAGTGTCACTGGAATGAGGAATGAGAAAAGGGGGGATTAGCCAAAGCAAATGTCCTTGCTATAAACAAGGAGAGGTTCCCCTCCCTGGAACTTCTGCAGTTCAGATCAGATCTCGCCAGGGACTCAAACACTGCCTGAGTAAAATGAGTATGGGAAATTCTTTCTCTTAGAAAGTCAAAGGCTAGAAATGTTGGAATTGCAACTGATTCCCATACCATGGTGTTCAAGAGTGTAGGGGATGGTTTAGGAAAGTGATTTGAGAGCAGACAGAATCCTAAGATTCTTCTCAGTGGCGCATGAGCTCTAGTGAACCATCTCAACAGGGAAAGAATTACTGTGTATCATCAATTCTGACACATAATTATTCTCATCTTGACACTTCTGAAATTGGGATGCATCTTAAAAACAAAACGATAGTAGTTGGAAAGTAAAGGTAATAGATTTACTTTAACATACCAAACTTCAACTTAGTAATGTCAGCAAACCTGGCAAGATTTTTTATCTCTCCTGATGTCTTCTTATCTTTACCATTAGTGATCACCTATTTTCTCTCTTCTTAACTACACCAGGGCAGTCATTGCCTGTGTTTCATGTCTGCTTGGATATGAGAATGCTGAGCTCTCCTATGAACAAATGAGTATAGCAGCTCTGGCAGAAATAGCTTCTCTGCAAAGTCCTTGGTCATATGAGCACTCCCTCCACAGCCAGTGTATACTTCAGCCCACTGTTGGTTCTCTCCAAGTCTTGGCAAATTTGCCTCCTCTGCCTAATGTCCCATCAGCTTTTTCCCCAAAGGCAATATTGACCTTGTTAGTCTGTACAAAGTCTGACTCTCTTGAAGAAGAAAGACCAGGCTAATGGAAAATGTTAACAGAATAAGTAAGTAAATGGCCATAATGATACTGATTTAAGAAGTATCTAAGGGCCAATTCCAGGTTTTGATTTTATATGTGTCAATTCATAACTGGTAGAACAGTAAAATGTGAGCGTCACACTCTTAAGTTTTCTCAGGCACTTGGCTAAATAAGCTTTTCCTAAAAGCCAAATGAAACTTAGGAATTATCCAGTCAAATTAGGTGCCTTCAATGTACTGGTTGAGTCCTGCTGCTAAGAAGAGCAGTGAGAGAATGGGCATGAAAGCTAGTGAGGCAGCAGAGAGAAGAAAGCAGTGAGTCTCTGAATCAAACATCAGATGATAGCTTTCTCCCCCTTGTCCTAACAATTGGCATAACAAGGTGAACACTGAGGCCTTGAGGAACTCTTTCCCACAAACTTAAGTTCAAGCTAAAGTTGACAGGACAGAGGAGAAAGGTTTCATTTACCCCCATATGGTCTAAATCCTGATGGCTCATGGTCTTGTAGGGAAACAAGGATTATAGAAGCTTCTGAGGCTATTTGCTATTCTTTTTTTTTTTCCATAAAAGGACTGGGGTGTAGGCCAGTGCAAGGGGTGAGAGACAGAGTGGAGAGTAGAATGGCAGATCTACTGACATACACTACTGAGGGGAGCAGCAGACAAGACAGGAGAGGTCTGCTGTGCCATATGTGGGTTGCCTCCGTGGCCAGGGATTGAAATTCAGGCCTCAGTGGTGATAACACTGAGACTTAACCCCCACGCCATGAGGGGGCCCCTGCTACTTATTTTGAGAGCAAGATATTAAGTAAACAGAGCAGAAATGTAGTTGACAACCTGTAAGTAATTTTGTATAGGGCTGTCTTTAATAAATCCATTCTTCCTTGTATAACAAAAACAGATGGTCAGAGTACAGTCCCAGGCAGAGTGGTCCAAGGCACTCTGCAATATGTATCCTCATAGCCAGATAATTTCTCTTAGATCACAAGATTAATAAGCAAAAAAATAAGAACTGGCATGTTTAATTAGACTACAATTTGCCATAACCATCTAACCATCTATTTTCTTAGGCAATCTCAGAACTGGTCAGCCCTGACATCTTCATGCAGTCTCACTCAGAAAATCCAATTTCAGTCAAAGAAATCGTCACTGAGATTGAATCCATCAGTCAAGGAGCTGGGCAGATTCAACTGAAAGGAGATATCCTGTCCAATCCATGTCATACACCAAAGAAGAATACTGTACATGAGCTGCCCCTTGAAAGGCCCCAGACCTTAGAGAACAAATCTGGAAATCTAGAGCAGAATGAGGGTTCCTACATAGTCCAGCCTGAACCAACCAATGACCCAGGGAAGTGGGACCCAGAAGGCTGCCTAACCACATACTCTTCTACCGCTGACTTGGAAGAAGAGGAGCCAGCTGAGGGAGAACAAGAAATCTGGGGCCCAGGGATACACTCGAGTGCTAAGTGGTGCCCTGGGTCTGTGAGGCGAGCCACCTTGGAGTTTGAGGAGCGCTTGCGGCAGGAGCAGGAGCACCATGGTACAACTTCTGCTTGTACCTCCTTGCCTACTCGCAAGAATTCTAAGAATGATTCTTCTATGGCTGACCTAGCACCAAAAGGGAAGAATGATGAAGCCACCCTAGAACAGGCATGTGACCCCAAGGACCCAGAGATGAGCAAGGGCAAAGAGAAATGTTGTGGGGTGGAGACTAGTCCACTACCCCATTCCAAGGAAATTACCGTTGTCCCAGCACCCGAATTTCAGGAACTTCACCACTTGCCAGCTCCACAGGAGTGCCCAAGGTTAGATACTAGAACAAAACAGGATATAGTCCTGAAGGAGCAGAAGACTGTGGTTTCATGCCAGGAATCTGAGACACAGTCATTTCCTCTTTCCCTTCCCAAGAAGATAGAAATTATTGAGTTTACCCACACAGTTACATCACCCGATCACACTGGAGCAGGGGGTGAAGTAGCGACCAGTGAGAAGACTGAGGAGCAAGCACTGAGGAAAGTAAAGGTGGAGAAGACCATCACTGTCCTCTGCGCACTGGATGAGAATCTGAACAGGACTCTGGGCCCTGACCAGGTTTCTCTGTACCCCCAAGTCCTTCCTCTGCTTCAGTCAGCCTCTCCTGAGCACAACAGGCCCACCAGCCTGCCCTCCACCATGGGCTGCCCAGGAGACTGCAGCAACAGTCCTTCAGTGGCCCTGGAGACAGTGGCACCTTTTGTCAGTCACACAACCCATGTACCATCAGCCAACTTGGATTACCTGAGTCCCCAGACTGTTGTTCACCTGGAAGGCTGCACAGAGCAAAGCAGCACCACAGACAATGAGCCCTCTGCAGAGCCAGGAAGCTGGGAAGAAAGCCCGGAGGGACCCCCCTCCAGTGGCAAAGAAATGTCATTCCAGGGCTCTGAGTTAACTAGTGAAGACCTAAGTTTGATTAGCAAACTTGGTGACACCTCTGGCAACTTACAAATAAAATCAGACCCGTCCCCCATAACCTGTCGACTCCCACATAGCTCTAGTAGTGACAATATAAAGGGACTCAGCCACAGCCCAGGGGTGGTGAAGGAGCGTGCTAAAGAAATTGAGTCACGAGCAACTTGCCAGGCAGTGCTCACCAAACCATCCCAAATGAGGCGCTCCGCTTCCCTTGCCAAGTTAGGTTACTTGGACCTCTGTAAAGACTATTTACCAGAGAGGGAGCCTGTCTCCTCTGAGTCCCCTCATCTCAAACTGCTTCAGCCTTTCATCAGAACAGACTCAGGCATGCACTCCATAGAGGTTCAGGGGACCCCAGAAAACCCAAATGTCCCCCAGAACCCGGAGCCTACCAAGTATTTTGTAGAGCAACTTAAAACAACAGAATGTGTTGTGCAGAGCAAGCCAGTGAAGAGACCCCTTGTACAGTATGCCAAAGAATTTGGTTACAGTCAACAGTGTTTGCGTCCCAGGGTAGGACCTGAATTGACTCGTTCTGAAGGCGGCCTTCCTTTGCTACAGGCCCAGGTACTGCATTGTGCAGGCCCAGCTCCACAGCTGGCAGTGGCGCCCCGTCAGCAGCATGGCAGAACTCACCCGCTTCGGAGACTGAAAAAGGCAAATGACAAAAAACGGACAACCAACCCCTTCTATAATACCATGTGATCTGAGCCTACACATGTGACTTTCTAAAAGAAATGCTTGTAAAAGGGGCAGGTGTAATATGTAAGGAACATGCACTTTATTGGTTAATTTTATAATATTTTGGTCATTTTACTGTTCTTGGCGCATGCAGGGTTTGGGTTTTTGTGTGTGTGTGTGCGCGCGCGCTCGTGTGTGTGCATGGATGTGAATGTGTGAGAGAGAAAAAGAGGGATTTGGATGGCAAGACCATTTTCTCATTTGTTTTTTTTTTTTAATTCAAACCTCAAAAAATTACTCATTTTCAAGGAACACCTTTTATCAAAGGCAAATTGCTGTTTCTCGATCATCCACCACCTGCTCCCTCGTTTTGCCCTGTGAGAAAAGGAAGGCCTGAGAAAGGAAGCAGTTGGGCAGAGTGGCCGTGAAGCTAGAAAGTGGCAATGCCCTCTCCGGACAGTGTGATGATGGTTGGGTCTCCAGACCTAATGCATTGGATGGTCCAGAGGGCAGTGGGACATCAGCACACACTCGACCCCAGCCCCAGCCCCAGGCCACTGAAATTCCAGAAGGGGCAGGTTCTGCTTTGCTTTAAAAGAGGGTCTTCTGGAATTCATTATCATATTCCAGATTGTATCATTACAGAAAGACATGCCAGTAGGTTGGCTTTGTAAACCTACCAAGCAGATAGATTTTTCTCCAAGCAAATAATTTTTTTATTAAGTTGAAAGTGAACTCCAAAATGAAATTTGAGAGGTCTTCTGTAAAAGATAAAAGCGTAACAGGAGGAGGTGAATGCAAGGGTAGAGAGGCCACTGTCCATTAGCTTCCTGGTATGTGGACTCCACCTGGTGCTGGTCCCAGCGCTTCCTGCCTGAAATGTGCTTTGGGTTCCTATCAACTAAAATGTAACAGGCACAATTGAAAAACAGCAATGGAAAGTCAGTGTGTTCTTCTAAAATGGATACATATGTAGGGTCTTACCCTCCCATTACTTGAATAATTCTTTGGGCCTTCTGAGTTCAATGGGCATATTTTTTTCCCATTTTGTTTTACTTCCTCATGCCATTTTCCCCAGTGCTGCCTGTTTTGTTTAATTTCATAGATATTTGAATTGTTGTGTTACATATGTATAGCCTCCATTGAATGCAAAGTTTTCTTTTCAAATATTATCACTGTTAACACTTGACATAGTTTTCCTTTCTTTTCCTGAAAGATTTATCATTTTTCCAGTCTACACACAGTATTTATGTACATAATGTCACTTTCTTACAATGTTTGGATGTTGTAGGGTCTTTTTTATGTATTTTCTTTCAGAAATATAAAGCTGCAACTGGAAAACACACAGATAGCACAGAAATTACCCTGGATATTGGTGGATATTGGTAGGAATCTGCAAAGTGTATTGATGGGTGGTTTTAACTGTTTAAACAGAGAGTTTCCTAGCTCCTGCCAAATTATGTGCAAATAACTTCCTCCTCAGAGAAATTCCTACAGTCTCCCATTAGATCATTCTGACTAATGACTGATTTCTCTTTGAGAATGAAATCCCAGAATGTTGTTTGCCAGTAGCTGAACCACAGCCAGGGAGAGAGCTCCTAATGGAGGCTGCAGGGAGGCCTCAGCCAAGGACAGGTACCCTGGACGACTCCATTTAGGATATTGTTGCTTTGCTGCTATTGTGGAGATCCTTAACATAGGACCCCTGCCATAAATAAGCCTATTTTAGCTCCTTACAGAAAATGTATTTAGTCTGGAATGGAACACCCTCTACAGCTCATCAAAACTGAAGAGGTTTGCAAATTTGCTTCCTGTTTGCATTAGTTGATGGCCACATTGCTGAGAGATTGACCAAGTACAGACTGAAGATTTAGGGTTTTGGTTCATCATAGCACTGACAATTGCATAGACTATCAAGGTGATGTCAAAGGCCAGAGTCTGGTGGTGGCAGGTACAAAGGTGACCCAAATAAGAGGGAAAGTGTAGACTGAGGCCACTCATAGGCACATTTGGAAGCCAAGATTGGGCCTGACATCACTGCCAGGAGTTAGACAGAAACCTGCTAAATGTGTGTTTTGATCTAGGATTCTGTATCTGTATCTGTACTGTTCTAAATAGTTTCCTTAAATGTTCAGCTGTATCATCCACACAGCCTTGTGATTCCTGGTTACTGGATGTTTTGTAAAGTGTTCTGTTAGGTGATGTGTACCAGTGTGAGGATACTAACAAGACAGGGTTATGAATTTCCAGTGCTCGTCCATGTAAACTGCCCTGCCTTATTGAGACAAGACAATATGAAGCAATGTGATGGGGGAAAGGACTGGAAGCCAAGAGAGATGGGGAGAGGAAGATTTGCATGGCGGTTAAGAACGTCTTATCCACTCATGTTAACTCCACAATATGGTGGCATTCCTCATGTTAAGTATAAGGAGACTCGACAGTATTCCACTGTTCCCTCTTCCCTGCCACTGTGTTTAATGTTCGTACTTAATGCATTACGTAAAAGGCTGGAGAGGAAACCCTCTAATGCTGTGAAGAAAAGCAAGCTTTTTTTTTTTAAGTGAGGAAATAGTCTTGCTCTGCCTTGCCTTTTTTTAAATTACATATTTTTATCATTTAATTTACCTGCTTAAATATCCTCAATGGAGGGTCTGTGATTCAGCCATGTCATAGGGTTTTGCCAGCCTTCTCAAACTCCTACAACTGGGTGTGCTTGTATTATTTACACAGCTGAGCAACATTCAGGAGAAGTGCATAGTAAGCAATCGAGGACTTTTCAGACTTTCTTCGAATTTTTTATAATCTCAGTGGCTTATTTCCCTTTTCTATTTATGGAAAACCCAGACTGGGAACAGCAGCCTGGTAGATAGACAGAGATGAATAGGAAAAGCCTGGATCTCTTGCTCAGTTCTCTCTTTATCATTCTTTTGAAAATCACCACAGTGGTTTAACTCTCAATTACTCTGGAGGAAAAAGAGTGTGTAAAAAGAGTAACATTTTGGTTTGTGGGTGAAAGCCCCCCAGGAGCACACAGATTCTGAGCTATAATCTGGATGCTTAACCTGGTCCGTAGGAAGGAGAGAAAACCCAATCTTTTCTTGATTTTAGAAACTTAGGAGTGGTGTATACTATAGTAGACATGTAGTACTGTAGTATAGTAATATTCATCTCTTCTCATTTCACTTGCCATTCAGATTCTGAGTATTGGGCTCATTCCTAGCATCCCAGCCTCTTCAGGCTCTTTCGCATTTTCCTGGTTCTGTACCTTTATGCCAATTGGTACTTCTCTTCCTTATTTTGGGAACTACCAAGAACTCCAAGGACAGTCTGGAATAGACAGCCCAGGCACTGAGGTCCCCTCCTGCTAAAGGACGCAGGCACACACTGTTGGGTAGACCTGAGGCTTCTGAGACACAGCTGCTGACAGAAATCTTTCCCTGTTCCATCTGAGGATTTCAGTTCTGAAGTGATCTACGCATGCTTGGTAAAAAAAAATGTTTTTGTGAGAGTTGTTTCCTTTTCTTCTTTTCAAGAAAGCAAGCATTATGCAAAAAGGGTCACTTTTAAGGGCATTTAAAATTTTTTAAATAAAGCCATTCTTTGGCTTTTTTGGACAACTCTTTGTGGATACTTTGTTTACATTGTGAGTATTAAAACGTGCATCATCTTGACAGCCACTCAGTCTCTTCCTTCTCCATGCACCTAACCCTGGCTGTCCTGTGAGTCCCTACACAGAGCAAGGCCAGATGGTCAGTCCTCAAAGGTAAATGGGTAAAACCTGGAGCTGACCTCCTTCTGTGCCCTGCACTCCTACCCAGCACTCTGTATGGAAATAGTTGTCATTTCCTCAGTGATGGTGTGTCTTATAATGATGGCTTAATGGTGAATGACTAGTGTTATTTTTGTTTAATTTTGTTTTGCTTTTTGATGGTAGATGAGATGAAACGTTAGCTCTTTTAGCACCAGCCTAACTTAAAAGCATCTTGGGCTTTGTTTTCCCTTCCAAACTAGAAAATCAGGCATGTCTTAGGCATTAATGTATTTGCTGCCTCAACTCATTGAATGCCCACACTAGGAAAAAGCCTGCCACCAAAGCAGGAAGCTGCACACTCCTAACCCTTCCCCCAGGGCTCGTGGTCCCTTGATGCCATGGAGAGCTATTGTAAGGTGCTTCTGTACTTTTCCAGCCTGGAAGTGGAAGGTGACTGGGCCTGGCTCCTGCTACGAATAGAGAACCAGCCTCATTTCCTCAGTACCCCAGAGATCTAGGACAGGGTTTCTAAACTGGAATTGTCCCTCATCAGCTTGAAGATTCACAAAAGGGGTATGTGACGCGTGCTGTCATCTCTGCCCTCAAAGTGACACTAATGGCAGTGTCCTATGTACACATGCAGAGCTGATGTCCAGGGTTCAACTCAAGCTGATTACTCAATCCTCAGTCTAGGGAACCAGCTCTGAAATATTTCCAAATCAATAAGCCCACAGAGAATTGTTTGGTTTTTATGTTTCATTGGATTTTGGTTTGCTTGGCATAGCTTAAGGTGCCTTTCCTTTTTTCTTTCTTTTTTTTTTTTCTTTCTACTTTACTTTGTAGGACTTGTTCTAAATGTGGAAAGCAAGTCCAAAGACTCTCCCACTGACTGTTATCTTTGCCCCAGGCCATCCCAAACTTTTATGCTCATATTTTATTAAAGCAGGTGCTCCCTGAAATCTCTGGGACATTTTTGAGGCATTTGAAACAGAATATAAAGAGTGGTCTCATCTCCTTCCTTAATCTTCCTGGTGGTTGGGATGTTCCACTTGTATCATAGATTTTTTTTATTACTGATGTGCTCCGCTGTTTTTAAATGTGAACTTGTGCGCAAATGTGCAGATTCAATGTTCTTGTTACAGATTGAATAAATTTTTATTTTGAAGATGAAATGTGTACTTGATCAAATGCAACAAAGGGGGATGGGGGCAGACTGGAGAAGGTGGAGGTACTAAGAGAACACTAGTGGTAAAAGATGGAATAGTTCTCATTGACAGACCTCCAGCAGTCAAAGCTGAATTCTGAGGGGGCTGGGGGGGGAATGATAAAATTTTCTACCTACCACAAAATAAAGACTGGGAAACAGGATCACTAAAAATATTTCAGACAGTGTGACTCTGATCAAATGACCAAGCTGAGAACTTGCCTGGTCAAAAAGGGTTCTTGGCCAAGCCACCACCTAAATGTTAGGAGAATGAATAAGCAAAGGAACCAATTTTCTCTGCCATCTGTGGTGCAGAGTGACTGCTCTGGGACAGCTGTTGTGACCTTCACCACAGGGACTGGATTTCTTGGGTGTGTGACCTCTCTGGACATTACTGAGGTAGAGCTCTCAAGCTTAATACAAGCACCTCAGCTCAATGAAAGGTTTATAGAAACAGATCTCGTGGCTTGCCCAAGAAGCTTTAACCCTCTCCCTCACCTATTAGAGAAATATAGTGCTAGTGGTAGAGAAGGGGGGGAAGGGGCCAACAGTTCCCTAAAACAGTATGGGGGAGGGAGGGGGAGTTACTCGCTTCTTTCACCCCTCCATATACTCAGGAAGATACTTAGTGGTACCATTCGTCACATATAAGGCAAGTCTGCTATCTAGGAAAGGCTTAGTTTTCAATTTTCAAACTGATAGTGAAACAATTTGCTGGTTTGCAGAGAAAACCCTGCCTTGAACTAAAGTCAGCTTCATTCTTAGTCAGGGGAGATCACTGTTGTCTGGAGTGCCAGAGTGCATGATGATGAAGGCTAGGTCCTTTCACAAAATACCCTAGGGATATCTGACCAGTCTAGGGAAAGCTCAGACTTAGCTTTCTAGCCAAAGCAGATCAACCGCCAGGCCAGCTTCTCCAGAAGATAGCCTTATAAGTGATGAAATCCAGGTCCATCTGTGGGTGTTGCAGTTCAAAGCCCAGCTAATAGCTGGGGAAGCGCCAAGTCCAAGTGGCTTCTTCCCCTGATTATCTTGGCTCCGCCCACCTATAATTTGGCCAGGCCCGGGGAAGCCCGAAGAAGGCAACAGAGGGCAGCACTGAGCAATCCCTATGAATCCCCGCTCCTGCAACCGCAGCACACCCCAGTTTTACAGATCATGGAAATGACGGTAGGGTGTGTTGAAGGATACCTGCTTTCTAGTCTAGCGCCCTTTCCTCTAGTTCCTAGCTTTTTAAAGGTCAGGGGAGGGGGGATGAAAAAAATGCTGTTTCAACGTAAGACACAGTTCCTGTGCCAACAAATGGTGGAGAGTTGGAAAGAAACCCACCCACCTGTCCTCTTCATTTGGCAAATCAGAGTGACTGAGCCAGGCCTGGAACCCTTGCTTCTGGGTCACAAAGTATAACTCACTATCACCACTTGTGAGGTAAAGTGGCACTGTCCTTCCAGGAGAAGCGGAAAAGCATGGGGCTGAAAAGCATGGATTCAGATACCAGACTACCTGGGTAAAGAAGCTCAGCTCCACCAACTGCCATTTTGAGTGAGTTAAGTTAACTAACCTCTGTCTCAGTTTGCTCATCTGTAAAATAAGGATTTTAGTGCCCATCTCAGAAGGCCGTTATCAAATACGGAACTATTATGTGTAAAACCTTTAGAACAGTGCCTGGAACTTACTGTCAGTTACTGTTATTAAAGAACAGCTGAGTCACTCAGGTCTTTCCCCCCTTAATCATGTGCCTAAAGTCTTTAGGTAAAAGAGAGCCCTTCTTGGCCACTTCCCCCAATGTCACAGACTGTTTCTGGAGCACCTGTAGCAGTTTGTTACTATATTCCAAGCTGCTATAGACATGGTCTCTTCCTGAGAAACAAAGGGGCTTGACAGTCACAGACTTGGAGGTTCTACCACCTCCCTCCCTTTTACCCCCATGAGATCTCTGCCCCCCACCACCACCAAGGCTGTGCTCTGTTGATTCCCAGGTGTGCCCTGGAGAGTGGGAAGGGCCTTGAGATGGAAAGAAGGAAATCCAGGGGGATAGCTAGGTAGCGAATATGGGGGACTAGCTGTTTTTCATCTGATGTACTTTAACCAGGTTTCTTTTTATCTCCTTAACCTTGGTTAGTACTTAGATTGTGATGGGGGTGGAGAAGGGGTAGTGGTGCATCCCTGGAACAAAGTAGAGTTCAATTGAATGACGGGAGAGTTACTTAACTTCTTTCTGTCTCAATTTCCTCATCTGTAAAATAGGGTTAATAATAGTGTCTATCTCAGGAAAGTGTCACCAGGTATGGAATTAATATGTAAAAACTTCGGGAGCCCAGCTGGGTGTCTAAAATTTTAGTTAAAAATCCAGGCACGCTGCTTCCCCTTCAGGGGATCAAGGTGAATTCACTTTCGGGCCCCGACCTTTAAGCGGCTTCCTAAAATAAACGGCTGCTATCGCTATTAACAATAATAGTATCATTCACAGTCCCTTTTCCGGCACGCTGCGGCTGCCTTGATCCAAGAGTTGAGACGATCCCCTCAAAGCCCGTTACTGGGCCTCCGCCGAAGGGTGTCTGGAGGTGCAGTCCCACAGCCCAGCCCGCCGGCTCGCGCTAGACTGGAAGTGCGATCGCAGCGGAACCAGGACCGAAAGCACCTGATCCTGCGCCGCTGCGCCTCTGAGGAAGCGCGCCCGGCGCCGGCTCCCAGACTAATCCCAGCGCTCCCCGGCGGCGTGGGGGCGGGGCGGGAGCTCGGCGGCCGGCGCGCGGACTGGCACAGCTAACTACTTCAGGCGCTCGCGAGTCCACCGCGCTCCACTTTCCCGCCGCCGGGGGGGCGGGGCCACCTGCCCCGCCCCTGCCCGAGGCCCCGCCCCCGCAGGTTGATGGCAGCGGCAGCTGGGACTGCAGCGGTGCCCGGCCCCGGAGAGCCGCAGACGGCGGCGGCAGAGCGTAGCGGAACGCCGGGGCTTCAGGCGCCGCAGACACCGACAGCAGCGGTTCTGGCGCCTGACGCCTCCCTCGGTCCCCAGCGCACCCCGTCTCCGCAGAGGAGTCACAGCGTGAGCGCCCCCCTCCCTGTTCAGGACCAGGTAACCCCCCTCCTCAGCCCTCCCCCTCTACACGCGCGCCACCTTCGCACGGGAGCGGCTGCGGTCTCGGGGTCTCGGGAGCGGACAGGGGCTGTGTCCCACCCTCCCACC